TTTGGAAGGCAAACACTCTTGGCTAGATTGAAAGCCATCAAGTGATCCTTCTCAGCAACAATCGAGTCAGTTTCCAGAATATCTCGATTTTGAAAGGTAAGACTTGGAACCCATTTGGAGGAGTCAGCTCGGTCAGAAGACTCCGGCTGTGGGAATAGTGGAGGGATGGATTCGTCCTCATCCACAAGTTGTTGTTCGGTCGGTGTAGATCGGGGGCGCTTAGAGGGGCGTGATGAAGAAGGCTGTTGAGAAGGGAGGGCCATAACGGTAGGCTGTGTTTGACTTGGTGGCGGTACTTCGGGTCGGTTAGTTTCGGTTAGAAGCGCCCTTATTCTGCTCCTTTTAGCCATTTCCTCTTCAGCAGTTAGTGGGATTAGTCTGATTTCTGGCAAGGTTGGGTCCGGTTCTGGGGCCTCCTCTAGCAGAAAGTCGGTCACTCTCGCTTTTCGGCGGCCACTATATCTGTAGGTCGGCTCGAATTTTAGTAGCTTAGCCCAACTACGTTCTGGATACCGTAGTGCGGCACGCAAAGTCGCTAGATTTGGGTAGCTATATAAAGAATGGAGGTGGGCAGAATCTGCGAAAGAAGATAACTGTTAGTTCGGCTAAAAGTTTGAAAAACCGAAATATAATAAAGCAAGCAAGAAAACCGAAGTAAATATACCGGGTTCTCCTTTTTTCCAGTTTATACGTCGGCTAGGAATCTGGGCTTGATGATCCTCAAAGTTCCCAGACACCCAGAAAAAATCGTCATCATTTAAGTCTTTATCCGGTGTATGTTTTATTATCTTCTCTTGGCGACGACGTATTCTTAAATAGTAGACCCACCCATCTTCTTTTGAACCAATGGAGTATTGGTGGAAGATTTCGGCCAGACCAAGGTTGAGTCCGGCTTGGCGATTTAGTTCGGCTATTCCCATTTTGATGCGGTAGGAATTGGTGGATAGTTGGGTTGGGCATAGTCTGGTTTGCCTAAGAAACTCACAAATCAAGGGTTGGACTGGAAATCGTAGTCCAGTCTCGATTATGGACAGAAGGGTAAAAGAAACAAAACCTTCATTGTTCCAGGGAATGACATCTTTTTCGGCTAAAATCAGGTGGACGTCATCAGGTATATTGTAGTCTTTTCTGAATTCGGCTAGGCCGCCCGGAGTGTCTACTAGATACCTATACTTCCCCATTTATTGTATAATTTACGAATAAATTAGTTCGGTCCAAAAATGGTGCTCAGTAGCTCGGTTGAGCGCGCAGAGGGGTGCCTGGGCAACCTAAGTCTGCAAAGTAGAAAACAAAGGGGTTAAGCACAGATCATTGGACCGTGCTACAAAATGAAAGTAAAAAATAGGAGCCCTACTTCGGCTATGTGGATGCTACAGGTCTTATCGCGGTTTCTTCAAGGTGATTGGTAGCTCGGTTTGAGCAAGGCTTTGTTAGTTCGGGCTTGGCAAGCGTCTAGATATCTCAGTTGTGGAAACGGTTCTGTTTGACCGGTTGATCGTCTAGGGGTAGCTTTCTGAGTTCCATTTAAAAAACTAAGAAAGCTGGTTTAGCCCCAAAAGCCTAGATCGGTTGGAGTTCAGGTATGTCGATATGCTAAGTGCAAACCTAGTTCGATTGGTTACCTCGGCTAAGTTCTATCAAGAAGTGGTTTGACTTATTCAAAGTTACTGGTGTAAACATAAGTGTTAGCCCGGTTGTAAGCTGACTAGATTTTTACCTAGCTTAAACAGTACCCTAGTTCGGTTGCATCATGATTTTGGATCAAAAACCTGTTTTCTACAGGATATTACATATACTCATGTGTTCTATGAAGTTTTTTCTATAAAAGTACAGAAGCAAAACAGAATGGACAAATATGTTTCGCAAAAACATAAAAAGCAAAATACGAAAACAAAATAGATGAGCAATACTAACCAGATGAATAGGCAAGGACTGGAGTTGGAAGCAACGGACAGCAATCGACGTGCTCTTTCAGACAACGAAGAACAATGAAGAACTCGAAGAAAAGGAAGAAGATGGATAGCAAAAGTAGAGGGACTCTGGCCTCAGGGTTTGCTTTTGTTAGAAAGCCCAAAATTTCGGTGGGACTGTTCAAAAAACACAAAGTACGAAGACGGCGTGACAGCCGTCCTCAGTCAATCAGAGCGTGCCACGTGTCATTGGAATGGGAAGCGTTACAGTCGCTGTGATTAAAGAGACGTTTTGACCGGATAAGTAGAGCCCGGTGTAAAATTAGCTCGGCTAGAAGGCTTTAGAGTTTTTAGCTCGGCTGGAAAGGCTTAAAAACTTCAGCTTGGCTAGTGGACAGGTAATCCCTATCATGCTGCGCAGATAGAATTAAGGGGCAATTGAGAGGGTAATTTTTGTGAAAATTGGGCCGAGCTGGGAGATGGTCATTATGGCCCACAATACGAAGGGTTGAGTGAAAAGGCCGCAAGGTTACTCCGGCCCAAGAGAAGTACAAAATTATCCGGCCCAAGAGAGGTACAGAATTACTCCG